AGAAGGAAACATTTAGGCTATAATTTTAAGGAAGAATTTGGGGTGATTATAGCATACAGTTTGAAAAAGTACATCAAAAGTTTCTTCATTATGGAGAATTTGTATGAAAAATTCTACCCTATTAGATACTCTGAATGATGTGGCATATTTAATTTGTAACAAGACAAAATCGGTTTCTTGCATTGAATATCTGCTGCTAGTTAGCAAAAGCTAATACAGTGCACTCATTATGCAGCTCATCAAGTTCAGTAATTTCTTTTTACTAAAGAGAAAATTAAATTATCAAAGGACTAAATGGCTTCCTGTACATCATATAGATGGTCTATACCTGAACCATAACTGGAGCAGTGTTACTGAGGTACCCCTCTTGAGGTACTACATGAACTTTTCTTTGCAAACAGTTTGGTTTGCAAACAGAAATAATTGGTCAAGTTTTGATTTTGTTTTCAAATTCTACATTGGGTGACAATACTACCACAGCTGTCTTTCCCACACAAAGACAAAAATGACCATCTTTTCCAAAATCATAGAACAAGTTAAGTTTGTGAACCAACTTATCAAGTTGTAGTATCACTGTATACTGCAACTTGACATTTTTGGCTGGTATTTTTGTTTGTGTTTTTGGTTTACTTTCCAAATATTGATTACTAAATAAGCTTTTGGAATTTTTATATAATATGTACTTTAATGTTAAATAGCTTTGTTGGATTTAATCAAGTCATATCCAGATTTGCATGGAAATATGAATTTACCTTAGAACTAAAATAGTACAAGTGAAAGTAAATCTCTGAAATTGTAATATTTCATTTTTCAACAGTGTAACACCCATTCCTATTTTTCTGGTAATCACATCAAGTTTTTTTAAGAAAGACTGCCTCTCTCAAACCAACCTCCATCTGCAAGGTGTGTTCCAGTCTTTAGTGTTTAGTCTTTAGGAATATGGTCTTTAGTGTTCCTCTCTCCCAGTAGATATCCTAATCCTTAGTAAAAAGAAAAGATATTCTAGAGAATTATCTAGCAATGTAAATGCAGAGCTATAAATGTCTACAGGGTATTTACCGGGTGATTTTCATTTTGGGGGAAGGAACAATGAAAAATGACCATCAAATTTCCAAATGTAGCTATTTCTAATTTTTAAAAAAATTAATAAAACTACATAGTACATTTCTAAAACATAATAAAATATGCTTCGTGGAACATTAGGCAGACATTAAAATTGTATAATAAGCAGTTTAACTATTCATTGTTAAAAAGCAAAGTACTACATAAAATAAGACAAAATATTAAATGTTGTATCTGTGATGATAAGGACTAAAAAGTTAAATTTATTGCTAATGATTTTCCTGTATGTTACAACTTTTCTTTTCTTTTCTTTTCTTTTTTTGTGACCAGCTTAGCCCACTCTGGAAATAGGGCTGGCACAGCATGTGGTGCCAGGGATAGAACCATGGTCCCAGTGCTTGTCAAAGCTTGGCTAAGCAGGCACTTTAGACTGCTGAGCTATCTCACTGGCCCTGTTCCAAATTTTCAACATGGAACGTATTTCATTTTAAAATTGGGAGATAGCTTAGAGAAAAATAGATGGAAGAAAATAATAGAAAAAGAGCCTTTTAACGGCAATAATACCGAGTGATATGGAAAGGAAAAATGAGAGTTATAAAAATATGTTACTTTTCATTTTAGGGAATAGAGGACCAAGTGTAAAGTCATTTAAGCTCTCGATATTACCTCTACTTGTGAATTCTGCTCTTGTTTTTAATTCATGGGAAAAATTACAGTTCTATTGCTCACTGTCTACTTCCCATTTTCTGCTCTGTCACCCGAACCCTGCTGACATCAACTTACTTTGCTTCCACTACATTTCACCTAGCATTGGAAATAAACACTACCCGAGACTGAGTTAGAGACTCAAGGCACTTGAACGTTCTATTTTTAAAATACTAAGTATGGCTGTTGGAAGTCATTTATGCCCCTAAAAATGATAAAAAGAAAAATAAAACTCTTTGGTGTGTATTTTAAATCACAAAGTAAATCTCTAATTCTTCCTATTTAATTCTACTATAAAAGAAATCTCAAGAGGCCATTTTTCATACTAACATTATGATTGGATAATCAACTTTATTAGAATACTATTGCTTTTGAGGGTAATTCTTAAGAGCTGGCTTCTCTGGGCATTACTCATCATTTCTCACAGTTCTAGGTGCTTTGTTTCTCTCTGTAGTGTAGCATGAGTGGCACATCCATCTCCAAACAAATGATCACTTTTCTCCTCGCTGGGACAAAATGCCTGACACTCAGAAGTTAGTCCCTTGGGACATAAGCCTGGGTCCGGAAGACCCATCCCTTACTTTTCTGTAGATGTGTACTTTAACGTTATAATGGCCAGCTGTGTATCTTCATACCTTTCCCTCAGTGATAAAGGAAGCAATTTATGTGCTTGCTTACTTGGTATAATGAATGACAAGAAGTGCATGTGTGTGCAAAAGTGTCAGAGTGGGATTTGGACCCACCTTTATGCTCTAACTGGTTTTGCATGTTTACCTGAGCCTCACAGAGGCTCCAATGGACACACACCATTCCAGGTTTGTTAAAAAGATGTTTTCATTTGACTTTTCTGTTAGAAGTAGCCCATTCAGTACAATTGCAAATGAAAAGCCAAATTTGCCAGTTTTGTGGAGGTCAAGTGAATCATCAGGTTATTCATGCATCGATGATGAAGATGCTCCATTATGGAAAAATACAAGATTTTATAACAGAAAAGTGGTGTGGATGGATGATGCTGACAAGGAAGATGATGACTTTGATGTTGGCCATTTAACCCAAAAATCCCATGAAAATGAAGTGGAGCAAGGGTCTACTGATATAGATGCAGGAAATATAGACCACTCTGATTCAGATGGTGAAGAAAACAGCAATGTGAATACATATGTGACTAATTAAAATGTTAAGAAATGGTCACACAACCAAGTGGAATAATCTGGTGTTAGAACTAGCTGGGGAGAGCTAAGTGACACAAAATCCTGCCTGGCAAGCACAAAGTCCTGAGTTTGATTCCCAGCATCAAAGCAAACACAATAACAAGCAAAGGGAAAAAGAATGAGCTCCTAAACAGTAGTGAAGGTTGTGGCAGGGGTGAAACCTACTGGACAGAATGCCAGAACTGCCAGTGAAGGCTGGAAATTGCAAAAGACAGAATGCAGTGGGGTTCTGTGAAGTGCACAGAACCTGAAAGGCAAGTAAAATTTTCTGTACATACCAATAGCCATACTCAATAATGTATTTATTATGTCACCTTACTAGCTGAACTAAAAGCATTCATGGGTCCGCTGCACTAGGCACAGATTTCTTATGGTGATTGCATGAATGGAAAAGACTTATGGAAAAGTGATGGATCAAAATATGGCATAAAAATTCATGGTCTTATAGGTGCAAAGACATATTATGCTTTCACTTTAGACATTTATTATGGAATTTAGCCACTAGGTCCTTCTTCGTGTAGTAATAAACCAACATGCTGTGAACACACTTGTTGCTCCCATCTCCCAAACTGCTCAGAATGTGACAGTTGACAGTTGGTTTACCATTTCCAGTTGATGTTACTGTTGCTAACAGAACACATGTTGCCCAGCACAAGAACTGTACACAAGAACAAAGCAGTAATTCCAAGTGAAAATGAAAGGTTTCAATTTCAAAACAAAGAATTGTATAGGACAATCTTTGGATTTCATAAAGATATAACGTTGATCTCAAATATGGCAAGAAAAGCAAACTGGCACTGTTGATGTTAACATTTCACCATGATGGAAATATTGATAGGGAAACCTCAACAAAATGGAAGTCTGAGATGGAAGTTTTCAACACCAAACCAAAATTGGAGTACATATTTTGATAAATTATGGGGCAAATATAATGTCACTTAAAACACAAAACATTGGCCAAGGTTGTGTTTTACTTGATCCTAAATATGTGTCACATAAATAGTTTGATATTTTATGAAGAAAATAGCATATGCAAATTATCAAGGAGAAATTTTCTTAGAGGACTGGGATCAAAGCTCATAAAAGATCATTTACAGCAGAGAAGAACTAAAATGTAAAACACTGTGGAAACTATGCAAAGAATTTGTGGATCAGGCTGGTGACCTGACAGGTAAACAGGGAGGCACAGCTTCACAAAGACCTGCTACACTAATAGAAAAATAATGTCAAAGTGTGCTCTCCGAGAAAGCAAAGGTCAAAAACAAATGAAAGAAAAAAAGAAAGGAAAGAAAAATATGTGCCATCGGTGTAAGCAATACTTATGCACAAACCACAAAGTTGTCTTTTGTGAAGACTGCCTGGGGTGTGGCAGCAGAAGCAAGGTTTATTTCTGTGGTTGGCCTTTGTTTAGTTTTATGTTGTAATTCACTAGGTTCTTATTTTTTGATGTTTCTTTCAGGTTTTATAAGCAGGTACACAGCTGAGGGAAAAATGCTTAGGCTTATTCTAAACACAAAATACATATTAATAATTTATTGAAATGACATTTTATGTATAACATAAGAACATCCTGGCAAAAGAGAAAGGCCCCCAAGGTGTCGAGTATGTCCCACAAAAAGGCCACAAAAGCAAAAGGCATGGTTTTCCTCTACAGTGAATGATCTATTAGGAACTTTGACCCCAGCCCTCTAAGAAAATTTTTCTGTGACAAGTTGCACTTCTTATATTCTTTATAAACTGTCAAAATATTTATGTTACACATGTTTAGGATCAAGGAAAGCACAATCACTGGCCAATGGTGCTGTCAGTGTAAACGATGTGTCTAGAAGGTGTTGTTGTCATGTATGCCTTAGATGTAATGCAGTCAAGATTAGTTTGTAACATGCTATTGATGTTTTCATTATAGCACATATATCCAGGGAGATGGCTCAGTAGAATAAGCACTTGCCAGGTAAGAGCAAGGGCCTGAGTTCAGTCCCTGGTACCACAAAAAAAATAAATAAATAAAATAAATAGGAACAGCGAGCGGCCCGCGACTGAAGCCTCCCTCTGAGAGCCCGGCGGCGGCCTCGCCTCGGCCCTGTCAGCGGTGACCTACGCTGAGGCGGCGGCCTCGGCTAGTCGTCTTTCTCTAGAGTTAACTCTTTAGAGCATCCTGGAGTCTACCATAAATGGACAGTTGGACCTAAGTGGGAAGCTAATTATCAAAGCCCAACTTGGAGAGGATATTCGGCGAATTCCCATTCATAATGAAGATATTACTTATGATGAATTAGTGTTAATGATGCAATGAGTTTTCAGAGGAAAACTTCTGAGTAATGATGAAGTTACAATAAAGTATAAAGATGAAGATGGAGATCTTATAACAATTTTTGATAGTTCTGACCTTTCCTTTGCAATCCAGTGTAGTAGAATACTGAAACTAACATTATTTGTTAATGGCCAACCAAGACCCCTTGAATCAAGTCAAGTGAAATATCTCCGTCGAGAACTGGTAGAACTTCGAAATAAAGTGAATCGTTTACTGGATAGGTTGGAGCCACCTGGAGAACCAGGACCTTCTACTAGTATTCCTGAAAATGATACAGTGGATGGTAGGGAAGAAAAGCCTGCTGCCTCTGATTCTTCTGGTAAACAGTCTACTCAAGTTATGGCAGCAAGTATGTCAGCTTTTGATCCTCTGAAAAACCAGGATGAAATCAATAAAAACGTTATGTCAGCATTTGGCTTAACAGATGATCAGGTTTCTGGGCCACCCAGTGCTCCAGCAGAAGATCGTTCTGGAACTCCCGACAGCATTGCTTCCTCCTCCTCAGCAGCTCACCCACCAGGAGTTCAGGCCCAACAGCCTCCGTATACAGGAGCTCAGGCACAAGCAGGTCAGATTGAAGGTCAGATGTACCAACAGTACCAGCAGCAAGCTGGCTATGGTGCACAGCAGCCTCAGGCTCTGCCTCAGCAACCTCAGCAGTATGGTATTCAGTATTCAGCTAGCTATAGTCAGCAGACTGGACCTCAGCAACCTCAACAGTTCCAGGGATATGGCCAGCAACCAACTTCCCAGGCACCAGCTCCTGCCTTTTCTGGTCAGCCTCAACAACTGTCTGCTCAACCACCACAGCAGTACCAGGCGAGCAGTTATCCTCAACAAACTTATACTGCCCAAACTTCTCAGTCTACTAATTATACTGTGCCCCCTCCCTCTCAGCCTGGAATGGCTCCAAGCCAGCCTGGGGCTTATCAACCAAGACCAGGTTTTACTTCACCTCCAGGAAGTACCATGGCCCCTCCTCCAAGTGGGCCTAACCCTTATGCACGCAATCGTCCTGCCTTTAGTCAGGGCTATACCCAGCCTGGACCTGGTTATCGATAAGTAGGTTCAGCTGTCCTGATGAATATAGCTGTTTGCCTCCCAAGACTCCAATACTATTTTATTTTAACTTGTATTGAAGTTCAGAAATTTAAACAGCAGAGCATTTTTTATGGTATCATTGTTGCTGTTAATTGAAAATGTAATTTGCTGGAACACAAAAAGACCAAAATGAAAATCTTTTTCCTCTCCTGCTTAAAATGTAGCAGCTTTCTAGTTATTTTGGAACACTACTCTTACATGTGTGTAAAGTGATTGGCTTTCTAGCTTCTCTTGTCCAGAGGATATTAAAACGCTAGGTTGAGGTTTAGCCATCTTACTTGGCTTTTTACTGTTAACATGATGTACTAAAGTAGAATCCT